CCAGGGTTCTTTGTCCCTCAGGAACTGTTAGAGGTCAGCAAGAAATAGCAATGACCACGTGTGAAAACAAGCAGAACCAACTAAGCAGAGAAAAATGAAATTTTCTTTGTAAAACAAAGAATTAAAGATGGAGTTTTTCCAGCAGGGGGTCTTGTATGGTTGTGTTTTTGATTGATTAAAGAGTAAAATAAGCCGGGCGCGGTGGCTCACACCTGTAATCCTAGCACTCTGGGAGGCCGAGGCGGGCGGATTGCTCGAGGTCAGGAGTTCGAAACCAGCCTGAGCCTGAGCGAGACCTCGTCTCTACTATAAATAGAAAGAAATTAATTGGCCAAGTAATATATATATAGAAAAAATTAGCCGGGCATGGTGGCGCATGCCTGTAGTCCCAGCTACTCGGGAGGCTGAGGCAGGAGGCCTGAGCCCAGGAGATTGAGGTTGCTGTGAGCTAGGCTGATGCCACGGCACTCACTCTAGCCTGGGCAACAAAAGCGAGACTCTGTCTCAAAAAAAAAAAAAGTAAAATAAGGGAGAGTTAAAGTAGAAAATTATAAAAAATGAAAAACAAGGCCTTTATAATTGGTTTAAAAATATTTTAGTATACGTGAGCCTTAGCTTATCAGAGCCACGGGCTGAGTAGCATGGAGGTGGTAAAGTTGCGATTCAGACCAGAGCCTAACACTGAGCTAAGTGGAAACTCAACCTTGGCCCCCATACCCCTCTGCCTACCATGACTTAGTTCCCACCAGAATCACACTAGAAAGGAGAAGGGATTTTTTTCAATTATAGGCATGTGTAATTTTACTGTGCTTCACAAATATTGCATTTTTACAAATTAAAGCTTTGTGGCAACCCTGAGTCGAGCAAGTCTATCGATACCATTTTTCCAACAGCATGTGCTCCCTTCTTGTCTGTGTGTCACGTTTTGGGATTTCTCACAGTACTTCCCACTTCTTCATTATTATCATATCTGTTATGGTGGTCTGTGATCAGTGATCTTTGAGGTTATGGTTGTCATTGTTTAGTGGCACCATGAACCGTGCCCATATGAGATGGTGAACTTGACTGACACATGTTGTCTGTGCTCTGACTGCTCTACTGATTGGCCATTCCCCCATCTCTCCCCCTCTCCTTGGGCCTCCCTATGCCCTGAGACACAACAATATTGAAATTAGGCCAATTAATAACCCTACCATGACCTCTAAATGTTCAAGTGAAAGGAAGAGCCACACATCTCTCACTTTCAATCAAAAGCTAGAAATGGTTGCGCTTAGTGAGGCAGGCATGTCAAAAGCTGAGACAGGCTGCAAGTTAGGCCTCTCGAACAGAACAGCCAAGTTGTGAATGCAAAGGAAAAGTTTTTGAAGGAAATTAAAAGTGCTAATCTAGAGAACACACAAATGTAAGAAAGCAAAACAGCCTTATTACTGATAAAGAGGAAGTTTGAGTGGTCTGGATAGAAGATCAAACCAGCCATAGCATTCCCTTAAGCCAAAACCTGATCCAGAGAAAGACTCTAACTCTACTCAATTCTGTGAAGGTTGAGTGAGGTGAGGAAGCTACAGAAGAAGAGTTTGAAACTAGCAGAGGTTGCTTCGTGAGGTTTAAGGAAAGAAGCCTTAAAAGTGCAAAGTGAAGCAGCAAGTGCTGACAGAGCAGCTGCAGCAAATTATCTGGTAGATCTAGCTGAGATCATTGATGAAGGTAGCTGCATTAAACAAAGATTTTCAGTGTAAATGAAACAGCCTTATCTAGAAAGAAGATGCCATTTAGGACTCTCATAGCTAGAGAGGAGAAGTCAGTGCCTGGCTTCAAAGCCAGTCAGACTCTCTTGTTAGGAGCTAATATTAGGAGCTGATGACTTTAAGTTGAAGCCAATGTTCATTTACCATTTCAAAAATCCTAAGGTCCTTAAGAATTATGCTAAATCTACCCTGACTGTGCTCTATAAATGGAACAACAAAGCCTGGATGACAGCACATCTGTTTACAGCAGAGTTTACTGAATATTTTAAGCCCACCATTGAAACCTACTGCTCAGGAAAAACAATTCCTTTTAAAAGATTACTGCTCATTGACAATGCACCTGGTGACCCAAGGGCTCTGATGGAGATGTATAAGGAGATTAATGTTGTTTTCATGCCTGCTAAAATCTATTTTGCAGCCCATGGATCAAGGAGTAATTTCAACTATCAAGTCTTATTAAGAAATACATTTTGTAAGGCTATTGCCATCGATAGTGATTTCTCTGATGGATCTGGGCAGAGTAAATTGAAAACTTTCTGGAAAGGACACTTCTAGCTGCTGTTAAGAACATTCATGATTCACAGGAGGAGGTCAAAATATCAACATTAACAAGAGTTTGGAAGAAATTGACTCCAACTCTCATGAATGACTGACTGGTTCAGGACTTCGGTGGAGGAAGTAAATACAGATGTGGTGGGGATAGAAAGAGAAGTAGAATTAGAAGTGGTGTCTGACGATAGTATTGAATTGCTGCAATCTCATGATAAAACTTGAACAGATAAGGAGTTGCTTCTTATGCATGAGCAAATTAAGGGGTTTCTTGAGATAGAGTCTACTCCTGGGGAAGATGCTGGGAACATCATTGAAAAGACAACAAAGGATTTAGAATGTTGTTATGTAAACTTAGTTAATAAGACAGCAGCACGGTTTGAGAGGATTGACTCCATTGACTTCTTTTGAAAGAAGTTCTGCTATGGGTCAAATGCTATCAAACAGTATCAATATGCTAGAGAGAAACGTTTCGTGAAAAAAAAGGGTCAATCAATGCAGCAAACTTCATTGTTGTCTTATTTTAAGAAATTGCCACAGCCACCCCGTCCTTCAATCACTACCCCCTGATCCGTGGGCAGCCCTCAACATCCAGGCAAGACCCTTCACCCATAAAAAGATTACCACTCAACTGAAGGCTCGGATGATCATTACCATTTTTAGCAATAAAGCACTTTTCAATTAAGGTATGTACATTGTTTTTTCAGACATACTGCTGTTGCACACTTAATAGACACCTGTGTAGTATAAACATAACTTTTATATGCACTAGGAAACCAGAAAATGTATTTGACTCACTTTATTGCAATATTCACTTTTTTTTTCGGTGGTCTGGAACCAAACCTGCAGTATCTCTGAGGTTATCCTGTAGTTTCAACAATTAGTGAGCTATAAGAAAAGAGATGCCATCCACTTCAAAAATGAAAACAGTCTCTATCCTGGTAAAAGTCATTTCAAAACTCTTTATGAAGCAGTAGTTGACAGGGGAGGGAGGGAACCACTTTTTGGCAAAACTTCCCCAAGCTGTAGCCCTTCCTGGGACGGGCCTGGTGAGGGGACCACTGTCTGGCATCGCACTCAGGGTTTATCAGCGGTGCCAGCGGCACTGTTCATTGACCACAGAGCTCTACCCTTGTGAGTGTCCCAGAATAGCTGCGGCTACCTGAGAGCAGTCCAGTCCTCAGGGACTCGTTATTGTCCCAGATAAACAGCGTTGCCGCAGCCAGCACGTAATGGCTGTATTTAACTGTGATAAGTGATGGGCAGGCGTGCCGGAGTGAGTGGATCTCTGCTAGGGCCTGGGTAATTGGACAAAGGCGAGCTGGCTGGCAGCAGGTATTTCTTGCACATCATAGAGCCGATGCCACTGGGCTTTAGACTCCTGGGAATAAATATGACAGACATGGGGAGTGTGCCTTCTAAACGAGCAAGACAGGACAGACCTACCGAATTTTGATTATGCTAATCACAAAGGTATTGAGGGAAGGAAATTTGAAGGAAAGTTTGGAAAATGGGTTACATTAATAGAGGCAGGCCTCATGGTAGAGGGCGAATCTCACACCACGGAAGGGCTAGTTTGGAGATATTGGGGTGTAGAATAAGACAGACCTTTTTCTCTGGGCACACATTTACTTTTGAGAGTAGGTGCCTGCACATTTTATGAAATGTAACCAGTGTAAGTCTTAGGCTGTAAAGGTCAGAGAAGTAAAGGTGAGAATGGCTGTATTTTGACAGTTTCAACATTGAAAGAATTTATTAGTATTCAGATATATTTTTGTTCTCTGTAATTCTCTAGAAATCTTTGCGTGATAAATGAGGATGAGTAACTAAATCCCATTCTTAGCAAGGCTTCCCTGATGACATAGAAAGGGGATTCACCAGGTGGACAAAGACTCTTGCAATGCATTTGGTGTGTAGCTTTGATTCCACAAAAAGGAGTGTTTCATTCCTCTGGTCAGGAGGGACAGGCAGGCCTGGAATTCTGAAGATACCCAGCACACATATGAGATGGAGACCACACATTGTGGTGCTAGTCTTCATACATGGCACATACTGGTACATATATGGTATAAGAGAAGGGCTTATTTGCATGTAATTGTGTGAGTGTGATGCTCCATGTAACGGGTGAGTTATCCTGCTGTCAGACAAGCCCTCAATTCGGAGGAGAACCCAAGTGTGAGGCACAAGTATGGCCACTTCTCCAGAACCCCCTGATTAAAGGGGTGCTCCAAAAATCTCTGCCATAGATGTGTGTATGATTAATAGAAGGAGACTTATTCTGAAATTTTGGACTTCAGAATCCAGAAATTAGGAGGCTTCCTTATATACTGGTAACAGATTAACATCCAACCGTTCAAGTTTATAATTCTGCACATTATATAATGGAGTTTGTCCAAAGATCTCACAATCACAACATGAGACAGATGGAAGATATAATAGAAAATCTCACCCAGGCCCCTGTTTCATAAAGGAAGAACCAAGTGGGTGCGGTGGTCGGGATTAAGAAGCAGGGCCAAGGCCACACAGCTGGTCAGAAGCATGCTGGACTGTAACTCGGGTCTCTGTCTCACTTAGTGTGGGAATTTTCCCTTTGCACAGATCAAAAAATTTAGGACAGATCTTCCATAATCCCTCTGCTTGACAAGGGCAAAAAACAAACAAACAACAAAAAAAACCTAGTTGAACCTAAAAATCCAAGCTCACTTCTTTTCCACTCTGTTGAGTTTCACACCTTGCATACCAATAAATATCAGGACAGTGAAGCCCAAGCTTGGTTCTTCATTTTCATTGATTCCAGAGTCCATTCCTGTGTCTCCAACAAGGGGGCCGCCCTGAACCCGTCAGAGCCAGGAGAACAAATGAGGGGGACTTCACTACCGCCCCCTCCTCAAATGGTAGCAGCAGAAAGGGACTTGTACTGCCACCATCTGGCCTTTAGGGGTGTCCCAGACACGGCAAGTATGTGGTGAGAGGAACGGAAACAGCACAAATTGTCTAGTTTATCATTCTCTTAAAATAAGCTTCGTGTGAGCAGGCTTTCAGAAGAGCAGGAACGGGGCTGCGAAAAATAGAGTGTGGTGCAGCTGCACCCTTTAGAACTTTGGGGGAAAACACATATTATTTACCAGACAATAATAGATACCAGAGAATAATAATGATTATTATAGTGTTTGGGATGGCGAATGCTGTAGTTAAGGTTCCAGAATGGCTCTCATTATAATCCCGTTTTCCCCAGGCTCTTGTGAAAGCCTGGAAATTTTCTTCAAGTAGGCTGATGCTGTCCATGTTTGGTCTGTGTCCAAAGGTGATTTGAATATAAAGAAACTTATTTGAGAAATATTCCTTTTTTGTTGTTGTTGGTAGTGATTACATTAAAGAAAAAAGCTACCTCCTTGAGGAAGCAGTCGCCGCATTCTTAAGTAAGCAACTCAAAATGGTGGTGTTTCCAAGTTGCTGGAAGAAAATGTTAAACACTTCCCTCCCTCCTTTTAAAGAAAGAATTTGGAGGTCCCCTCTGACTACAAGATTCGGTCACTCTTGGTCCCAGGCCCAGAGGTGGGGATGGTTTTCCTCCCTGCACAGCAGCTTCCAAGCTGTGCTTGACAAATGCAAGAGAATTGTCCCCAGGAGCTACCCTGTGTCCTTGGATTCACTTGTCGTTTCTGCAGCTTCTTCCCAGCCCCTCATTTGATGGAGGCTCTTGGTGCTTTTGGTTTTGTATGTCTTCTCTCCATTGTCTCTTATTCTCAAAAAAGAAAGCAAGAAAGGAAGAGAGAGAGAGAGAGAAATCAACTGTGAGCTCTTTATTCAGAGATAAATAAATACCCACATTTCCAAATCTGACCATGCCAAATGAAAAGGTTTCCATGGCCTTGTAATTCCACCCCCATTGCATATTTGTGGTGTTTTGCATTTTCACTTTGGTTATTTAATATACATATTAAATACACACAGATCTGGTGATTTAATGTGATTTGGGGAACTCAGGCATTTCCTGTCGTGCACATTGAGATTTTCAAACCTTGTTTTTGGCTGGTGATTATTACCGTTGCCATTAACACCAAGATTTGGATAGCAGCGTTAAAAGCACAAGCTTCTACTTAGTCCTCCCGATGGGCATTTTGACCTCATCATACTCTTGCTAACTTCATGTTGCAAACACTCCGAACAAGTTTCCAGGTCCCTTTGCAGCCTCCATTTTTTTCATCTATAAAAGCAGGAAATTATACTGTATTCTCTCTGGGGTCCGTTCAAGTCCTCAATTTCGTGCCCTCTCTGAAAGTATTTGTTCATTGTTCTAAGAATAATCTCAACAGTTGTAAAGATGCTTACAAGTCCTCTGTCAACACTTCACCTTAGCCGAATTTAACCCATTCACATTTTTGATGTGGCCATTTGTTGGCAGGAAAAAAGGGTACCGTCTGGGGACATGGCAGAAGGGAGCTGCTTGACTCTTACTTGACAAAAGTGTGCCGAGCACCTACAGACTCTGAAGTAGGGGCTGGGTGCAGAGACGTGAGCAAAACACACAACCTCAGCCCACAGGGGCTTTACGGTTGGGTTGGCAGATTTCTAAGTGGCCACTTCCCAGGAGTGACTGGGTGTCCTCAGGAGGCTGTATTTCAAACCAACAAACTGGTGACAAATGAAATACACCAGCAGGGACAAAGAGGCAGAGCCTGATGTCTTGGCAAATGTGGGGATGGTTGTTCCCCAGAAACTGACTTTTCTGGTTCAAAGTCCCGTTCCGACCCTCTGCCCTGGGACCGCAAGTTTGGTTTGTTGTCTCCCAGTCCCCATGCAACTCTTTGTTTTGGATGTGAGGAGATGTGAATGGTCCACCTTTGACAGGCAAGAGCCACAAACAGAGAGGAGCAAGCATTTCTTCCAGCTTAAACTGCCTCTGTAGGAGACTTCTGAAGAGAGGTGTATGTGTCCATGGTAATTTTTATTTGCTAAAGAGTGAATCTCTTCACCCTCCTTGCAGCAAACGCCAGGGCGTACACGGGGGTGAGAAGTTACGTGGAGTACAGGGCTGAGGTCTGGAGCTTCAGGGTCCTCCCCCCACCCCTGACCTCACCTGGCTTTCGGATGACCTTGGGCGACTCAGAGACCTCCTGCTAGTTAAGCGTGCAGTAATGTGGAGGGTGAAAGTCGCTGGGCTGCAAAGGATGCTGTGGTCTTTGGGCGAGGGCGTGGTGCACCGTGCTCACGATGGTATTCCAGAAAGCAACTCGAGTTTCATTTCCTCACACAAAGCTGGCAAGGCTGACCCCGAGCAGACCGTGAATGAAGCTCCTGTTGCGATCCCACTGTGCTGCCTCCGCTCTGGGGCTTGTCTGAGGTCTGCGCTGCGGCCGGCCGGGGAGCGTGCTGCCGTCTGACTCACGCCTGGGTTTTCCCCGGCTGGGCGGAGGGGGGGATTTGGTCCAGTAGATTCTGACGGCCCCTTCTCCTCTTTTTTCAGGAACGCTCGCTCACGGAGAGAGGGCCCAGAGCAAACCATGTCACGCCATCCAATGACACCAGCTGGTCAGCTCACCACCCCCTCTGGCTAAAACTCAAGCAAATAAAGCCGCTTCCTGTCATTAAGCATCTCAGAGGAAGCAGCCCTCCCCTGGTGGCCTCCAGCCCAGAGAAGCCAGCGCGCCTTGGACCCACCAAGCGGGCCCAGCCTTCCTGCTGCCACCACCTGTGCTTCTCCCCAGAGGAACTTAGGGATCTCACCCCTGGTTTTAAAAAACAAAACAAAACACCAACAAGCCACAAGGACCAATGTAGGTATTCTCCCCGCTCCATCTTCAAGGCTCAGTGGCTGAGGCTGGAAGATGATACGGATTGGAAAACGAAAATCTTTTTTTAATCTTTTTAAAAACTGCTGTGGTTTTGCTGCTACACTAAGAATTGTGATTTGCATTGTACGGTTTTGGACCTATACTGTTCATGTTTTGACGGCGGAGAGGGATGGTGCTGGAGTCCCAGCACTTCAGGTTCGTCTCTGTCCTGCCCAGGATGCACTTTTAAATGAAGAGTTAGAATATTTTATTGGCTAATATACTTTTCTTGTTATTTTTACAAAGGCCACCTTTATCCTTTTTGATGCCATATTTTCAGTGTTACACTTTTATGGCTTTTAATTTTCGATTTGACAGATGTAAGAAGCAGCATGAATAGTTTATACTGTGGTTTTTCAGAGACTGAATGCCAAGAGAACTCGGTAAATGTTTATTCTTCTCAGCTTTCTCTTTAAATTCCCCTAAATAGCGCCCCATTTGGGAACAGAGCAAGAGTGTTGAACTGAAGACCAAAATGCCCTCAAGGTGTAAAATAATCCGAGGGGGAATATTTGCTGGGCGTCACGAAAGACTCAGATGAAATTTCAGCCCTGATGGTTTTTGGTGATCCAGGAAGTCAGTGAGACAATCTCTCTATACGCAGAGCCCTTTCATGATAATTAGAATAGTATGGACAAACCAATGAAAACAAGAGGGAAAGTGAGAAAGATCGCCCATGATTCTGTTTCACTGTTTGCTTTCTCCTGTCATGGTTAAGAGAAATGTGCAATTCGATCCTCAATCAGTGGGTGGAGGATAACAGGGTAGATTCACTTGTGTGCACTTGTACAGTTGTAGCTGCGAGTCCAGAAGTCCTCTAGAGCATGTGTACTGGCACTGAGTTGGTGAGACAGTTGTGGAGTATCCCATTCTGATGAGTACAGAAAAAAAAAGAGAGAAAAAAATTAAGAAAAAAATCAAAAAAAGAAGAAAACTAAAAAAAAAAAAATCAAATCACCTTGTGATTCAGTGTATCTGTTTACTAACTCAAATAAAGCAATTGTTCCCTCTAGAGGGGTCCAAGTGCCCCTGTCCCAGGAGGCCGCCTGGCCCCAGCAGGAGGGTGGCGGGGCATGGGCGGGCCGGGCCAGGTGGTGTCATGCGGCCTTGAAGCGCCACGGGGCCCGAGGATGCGGTGTACATACTGTATTTCTATATTCTCCTTTGTACAGAGTCACTTAACACGTCAAGCTACTGTTTTACAGGTGCTCCTTATTTATTAGAGCTGTGAGAGCTTAGGGGACACACCTGGCGAGCGAGCTCGCTTTTTAAAAATGAAATTTGGGGGCAGGGGACGGGAGGTGGGAGGGAGGGGAAGCTCGCAAGCCCGGGGAGAGATTTATAAAAGTAAACAAAAGAAACATTTCCAGCAACAAATTTTAAAAAGACAGATAAACCCCAGCACCAAACTCACCCACGCAGGAAGAAGCAGTCCCTCTTCTGGGTGCTCGTTTTCCTGCTGGGCTCACAACATGCTCCTCTCTCCCTGACTGGTGTCAGATTCATCAAACAAAAATAAATCTCTAAGAAAAAAATGCACTTACACGTGCTTATTTGGCTTTTCTCATTATTATGACTATTGTTGTTATTTTCCTTGTTACAGAAAGTATTCATTTTTTCTCCCACTGGGAAACATTTTTTGCAATAGAGCTAAAAAGTTTTCTTAGAAGATGGTGCGCTCCAGGGATGGCACTGACCCTGAGCTGCAGCAGCCGGTGCGTGCCTGCAGACGAGAGCCCATTCGGCCCATTCCCGCCCACACCCATCGTGGACAGCACGAGGTGCGTGGGAAGTGAGTTTGGGGCCTGTAGACCCAGGTGTGATGTCCTTTCCAAGTGCTCTCCAAGTCCTGATCCTTTTTGGCTCCAAGGGTTCAGGTGGAAGGTTCAAGAAGCACCAGTCAATGGACGCCAACATCCCCCATGGGTTCTACTCACATCCATACACCATCCTGCCACATTGACCAGGAGAGACTTTTGTTTTAGCTTCATGTGAATGTGATGGGTCAATCTGGCTCTTCTTTGGTAAGTAAGTCGAACATCAGAAAGTTTCTAAGGTGGAAAGTACACTAATATCTAGTTCCAGTCAGTGGAAAGCTAGCCCAATCCTATTGTGCCACATGAGGGAAAACTGAAGGCTAGAAAAGAGAATTGACTCATCCAGGGTCCCACACTTACTTGATTTAGATTATCAAAACATGAATGTTCATTGAAATCTGAGACACCCTGAGCAGTTCCCTCCAAGTGATCGTCTTTGGATTCTGGAGACCCGGTTTCCTTCTCCTTGCAAGGAGCCTGAGAGAATCTCGGAGGCTTCCCGGTAGGGGCTCCATTGGTGGTGGTGGCTCATCTGCACCCTGCCGAGGCAGGCCCCGCGGGGGACGCGCCAGGGCCGGGGCACCCGGCTGTGGGTGTCTGGTGCACAGTCCCCGATAGCATTATCCATCTCAACTTGGCCATAGAGGCAGTCACCCAGGATATTGATTTTACTTTTGTCTGTAGTCCAAGATTGTCGAGCAAACATTTTGACCTTTCTGGAAACAAAAGGTGCCTTTGTTCCAACATGAAAAGACTCCGTGGCATCTCTTCAGCCGTGAGCACCCCTTTCCCTTCCTCTTCCTTCTCCTGATCTTAGTGCCTTCTCTTAGTGCTCCTGGAGTGCAGAGTTCTCTTGGGCTATCAAAACTACATATAAAGAGAAACAGAAACAACAACGTAGGCAAGAGCTAGTATGCGCGGAGCATGTGTGCATTCGTCTCGCGAACTCTCCACAGTAGCCCTGTGAGGAAGGGCCTGTCACTTTCCCTTTAAATAAGAAGAACCTGTGGCTCAGTGGATTTAGTAATCACCCAAGGTCACGCAGCCAGTGAGTTGCAGAATGGGACTGAAACCCAGGAGGTTTGGCATCAGGGCCCAGGCCCCACAACCAGTCTGGAGAAAAACGAATGACATCTTCACGAAGAGGAGTTTTGACTTTCTGTAAATTTGTGGCAGTGGTGCAGTTTTATTCTAATGTGGCCCTCATTTGAAACTAAGCCAGAGGGCTGCATGTTCATGGTTAGCGCCCACTGCATCTTATTGGATGTGGGGAAACGTGGACGACACTCCACTTTTTGAGAAATAAACCAGGCAGTGTTTTCCTTGGCAGTCGTCAAACCCCCACTGAACACAAGGCCCCATGCCTGATGCCGGCCAAGGGGAGACCAGAGTAGAGAGCTCACAGCCCCTGCCCCAGTGGGCTGTGGAAAAGATGGACCACTTCTTGGTCTCACCAGCACTCTCTCAGTGTTTTCCAGGGTTTACATATTGCACACCTGGAGCCTGGATTTACAGCTTTGCAAAGATGTCCTTCCCTTGCAGGTGTATCCCCAATACTGGATGGACAGCTTGAGCTGCAGGCAGGCCTGCAGGTGCCAGCTCATGCTGCCCATGTGGCATAGCCAAAGCCACTCAAGACTGCTGTTGACTCCCTCGGCATCCTCCTCCACCCCAAGGAACAGATGCTTAGCTTCCTTGACCAGTTTCAATAAGGACCCACCTTGAGACATTTCATACCTACTTGTAGCTCTTCATTGGTTCTCTGTGGCCTACAAAGTCAAAGTCAAGGGCAGAGTGCGGCATGCAAAGCCGCCCTAGCTCTGGCCCCTGCCACTTCTCCAGCCCTGTCCACTCCTGCTCCCTGCCTGCCAGGCCACCAATCCTGAATTAGGAGCTGGTTCCTGGTGCTCCTGCTCTCTCCCACTCCTGTGCCTCTGCACATGAATGTCTTTCCTTCCTCCTCCCTGTGCAATTTCTATAGCCCAGCTGCTGGGGTGAGGCTTCCCCCGGAGTCTGTATGGACCACCTCCTCCCCTCCCCCATTGGGGCGGGCGCCGCGGCCACGCTGTCCTCCAGCCCGTGCACTTTGCACTCGGCTTATTCACCTGCCCGTGCCCTTTACTAGTCTGTGGAGTCCTTAAGGACAGGGACTGTGCCTTATTTGCCTCTTATCTCCTGCAGCACATGCCCAGCACATGGAAGGCCCTCATTACTATAATTATGACTTTAAAAATTAATAAGCCATCCCCTTCAAGGATCAGTTTACATGCCACCCCTCCAGGAGGCCAAGCTGGAATCCCTGAGGTGCAATTAATTGCTTCTCCCTTGGGCTCCCGTGCCCCTTGTTTAAATTGACCGAGGCCACTTCTGGCACTGTACCGAATGGTCTTCCACGTCGTCCGGCTCCTCGGAGGTAGACACTGTGGCCCTTTTAACTTTGCATCCTTGCAGAGCTCCCCACCACTCTTGGAACTGAGCAGTTGGCTGGGTTGAAGCACTTTTATCCTACTAGCTTAGCGATAGAAGAGGACAACAAAACCCTGAAAACCAGAGCATTTGTGCAGCAGACACAGAAGGACTCTAGAATTTCATTTTGTGCTTCTGGTGCCCAAGGGAGGGAGGTGCCAGAGCCACCGCGGGCAGCCGGTCAGCCAGCACGTCTCTGGGCTTCTTCTAAACGCAAAGCCAGTGCAAAGCGCTGGGAGCCGCACAAAGGGGATAAGGGACAGTCGCTGCCCTCGTGCTTCTGGGCTCAACACTGATTCCAGGTCACAGAACTGTTACTCATTTTACCCAGAAAAGTCTTAAATATGAGATCGTTCTTTGACCCTTGGACACACTTAGAAATGGAAAGATAGTCTTTGATACCCAGAACGTGTCTCTTATTCTATCTCTTGACTATGGGTGGAAGGAACAGTTGCCACCTGGGTATGTCCTTCTTCTAGTGAAGGAGGGGCCTTGGCTGAGAAATGGCTCCCATCCATTACATGCTTCACACTGCTCAGGCCCTTCACCTGGGAGTGACAGAGCCAAGATTTGAACCCTCTGCCCCCAAATGCAGTGTTCTTCTGGTGGCCGCAGAAATACCAGCGTCAACTCAGCTCATAACTCAGTTTGACTCTGAACCAGCCGACGGGACACAGGTCTGATGATGTCATTCCAGCTGCTTCCAGACCTGGGGCAGCGGGTGATGCTCTCTTTTCCCAGCTGTTTCTCACATGTAGGTTTAGGCCAAATGAGCCAACAATAAACCCCTCCCAGAAGGAATAGACACCACAGTTAATTTTAATGAACACTTGTCTAAAGTTTACTAAATGCCACTTCGTCACGTTATTTCATTTATGCCTCAGTATAACCCTGTGAGGTCAGTACTATTATCCCCATTTTACAGATGAGGGAACTGAGTACACAGAAGCTAAGTAAGTGGCAGAGCCTGAAACAGCGTTCAGGTAGTGTGATCCCAGGGCCCACACTTCACCAGCACACTCACATGGGCGCCCCTCCCACTTGTCTATGGATAGATGCCTGCATGCATGAATAACATGTGTGGCCAAAGCATACACCAGTCCCCTTCACATATGTCATCTCGTCTTTGAGAGCATCAAGCTCAGGAGTAACGTAGAGCAGAATAAGAGTGCTTCCCATCTCTTGAGTTAGAGTAAAAGTCAATTGCCCATCTCTTCTTGACCTCACAAACTTCCGATAAAGTCCTATCCTGGTGAGAACTCTTCTTCACAGCAATTGCCAGCTTCATAATCTAGCACGGAATGCCCAGGAGATGCACCACATAGCTCGTTGCTGTATGTATTCCCAGTCCTCTGCTCTCCTCCGACCAGTCTCGGAGTCCCCGCAGGCAGGGAAAGGGCTAGCTCATCTTTGCATCCGGGGGGATGGGCTGAGTTGTCTACTGTACATATCCTTGGCTGCTCTCACCACTGCTCTCACCACTGCACTCACCACAGCCCTCATCCACTGCTCTCACCACTGCTTTCATCCACTGCTCTCACCACTGCTCTCACCACTGCTCTCACCACTGCTCTCACCACTGCTCTCACCACTGCTTTCATCCACTGCTCTCACCACTGCTGTCACCACAGCCCTCATCCACTGCTCTCACCACTGCTCTCACCACTGCTCTCATCCACTGCTCTCACCACTGCTCTCACCACTGCTCTCATCCACTGCTCTCACCACTGCTCTCATCCATTGCTCATCCACTGCTCTCATCCACTGCTCTCACCACTGCTCTCACCACTGCTGTCACCACAGCCCTCATCCACTGCTCTCACCACTGCTCTCATCACCGCTCATCCACTGCTCTCACCACTGCTGTCACCACAGCCCTCATCCACTGCTCTCACCACTGCTCTCACCACTGCTCTCATCCACTGCTCTCACCACTGCTCTCATCCATTGCTCATCCACTGCTCTCATCCACTGCTCTCACCACTGCTCTCACCACTGCTGTCACCACAGCCCTCATCCACTGCTCTCACCACTGCTCTCATCCACTGCTCTCACCACTGCTCTCATCCACTGCTCATCCACTGCTCTCATCACTGCTCTCACCACTGCTCTCATCCACTGCTCTCATCCACTGCTCTCACCACTGCTCATCCACTGCTCTCATCACTGCTCTCACCACTGCTCTCATCCACCGCTCTCATCACTGCTCATCCACTGCTCTCATCACTGCTCATCCACTGCTCTCACCACTGCTCTCACCACTGCTCTCATCACTGCTCTCACCACTGCTCTCACCACTGCTCTCATCACTGCTCTCACCACTGCTCTCACCACTGCTCTCACCACTGCTCTCATCCACTGCTCATCCACTGCTCTCATCCACTGCTCTCATCCACTGCTCATCCACTGCTCTCATCCACTGCTCTCACCACTGCTCTCATCCACTGCTCTCACCACTGCTCTCACCACTGCTCCCACCACTGCTCTCACCACTGCTCTCATCACTGCTCATCCACTGCTCTCACCACTGCTCATCCACTGCTCTCATCCACTGCTCTCATCACTGCTCTCATCACTGCTCTCACCCACTGCTCATCCACTGCTCTCATCACTGCTCTCACCCACTGCTCATCCACTGCTCCCACCACTGCTCTCATCACTGCTCTCATCCACTGCTCATCCACTGCTCTCACCACTGCTCTCATCCACTGCTCTCATCCACTGCTCTCACCACTGCTCTCATCCACTGCTCTCATCCACTGCTTTCACCACTGCTCTCACCATTGCTCTCACCACTGTTCTCATCCAATGTTCTCACCACTGCTCTCATCCACTGCTGTTATCCACTGCTCTCGCACTGGTTGGGTTACCCAAATCTCCACCACGTCCTCTGTGTCCCTCAAAACCCCCCTCCCTTTTCCTGCTCTGGGCTTCCCTACAGATTCTCTGCAGCTGAGACTATTGGGATGTCCTGGTACCCTGTGCATCAGGTGCAAGACCACCTCCCCAGCAGCGAGGACAAGGCCGGCTCACAGAAGGACACCGGAAGAGCAGTGTACAAGGGTCTCAGCTGGAAGGCACCAGGTCCTGGGATAACAAGGAAAACCTCACGTCATTTCCACTCTCCTACATCTCATGCAAAACATATCACATTCCATCTTTACATGTCCCCTGTAAAATAATTTCTGGTGTTGGAAATACTTGGAAAAAAATATTTTTTTAGGAAAAGCTAGGTTGCGAGTGAGTGAGCGCTGGAGGGCATGCACTTGACCTTGGTAAAGAAAGGGAAGGTCTTGAGGCTGAAGCATATTTAGCCAGAACCTTCAGACGATATGGTATTTTTTTTCTTCTTTATAGGTTTATTTAAACAAAAGTGAAGGTTTATTATAAAATAAAAGCAATGAAAACATTACAGGTAGGAAAAAGGAAGAGTTTTAGGAAACAGCAGGACCCTACTGAACCCCTTGAATTTCACACTCCCCAGGACCCTTGAACGCCCTTTCCGTCTCCACTGCGTGGTTTAGAGTATCCCCTTCACGTGCAGTGGCTGCACTAGGCTCAGTCTGCAGGCCAGGAATGCAATAACATTCTCTTATACTTATTGATCCCTTAAAACAGAATTTGTTTTCATGAAACTTTAATTCACTTTTTTTCTTTTCCTTTTTTTTTTTTCCTTCTTTTTAGCTTTTTAGCTTAACTGCTACACATTTTATCCCTGTTCTTTGTGAAATGCTAATCCAATCCAGGGTTTTCGTTTTCTGGGTGTAACTTTTCAGAAATTGTATATCTGCATAGCAACCCCACAAGGGCTGCCGATGTCATGGTATCACATGTCAGAAAGATGAAAAGGACTCCAAATCTAAGCTCTCCACAAACTTGGCCCTCCGATTCTGGGGCAGAGAGCTTCTTGGCCTTAATATAAATGGCAGGAGAGACATTTCAGGGCCAGAGAGGTGCAAACTTTTATCTTGTTGATGACAGAAAACGACACATGACCTCAGTTCGGCTCGGTGGGGACGATCAAACCAGAAACAAAGGCCGTATTTTTCTCTGCTCTTGTCCCTGCTGTCAGCTTCCAAGTGCAACCTGAGCCTGGATTCCGAACCCAGTGTCCAGATTAGAGATTGTTGACTCAGATTTAGTGGTGAAACGTGAGCCAGACCCTGTTGATGGCAAGCCTTGAAGGAGCAAGTTTACTTAAGCCAAGAGAGAGATTGTATGTCAGGCGAGAGCCTGGCTTTTCTTTATCACAAACTTCCTGATCTGCCTCTGTTTTAATAGTTTCCACCACCATCACCAGCAAATGAGAGAGAGAGAGAGAGAGAGAGAGAAAGAGAGAAAGAGAGAGAGAGAGAGGAAGCACCCCTCTCGGTTCCATCTTCTCAGTGTCATAAATCAGGAAATTAACAAGTGTGTAACTGGCCTTTGCCACGGTCAAAGACAATGAGCCTTTTGTGTTTCTTACCAGGGGCTGGCACTTAACATAATCAATGAAGAGCTCCACCAAGAAAGAATGAAATATGGGGGCTTGATATAGCCATTTAAAGGATATTTCCTCATACTCAGGCCCATGACATTTATGAGACTCAAACACGGCTTAGAAACTCGCCTTTCGGTCTGAAGGCAGGTCATTAAGCGAAATCATTACATCGCTTTCCTTTCTCTGTCTCTCTCTCTCTCTCCATTTTTCTTTGGCATCCACCCGGCTTTTCCTTGGCTTCTGATTTCATCCCTCTTTTAGATTCTCTGTGCCTTCAGTAATTTATGTGCAAGATATTTTCCCAACCTCCAAATGTTTTTCCATTTGGCAAACCGTGTCCCGAAGCCTCCACACGATGTAACTGTAGAGTTCATTTATGCTAGAAAACATACGCTTGGTTAATGGAAACGCCCAGGCGGCCAACGTCAGTGACCTGCGGGCCTGGGCTGGCGCAGACGGATCCTCCGGGCCACCCCCGGGGATGCGGCTGGGGTGGGTGTCGGGGAGGAGTGTCTTTTCCAGGTTGCCACAGATGCTTGGCTTCCACCCTCCTTGTCTCCAAAAAGGAAAGGATTCCTTCCAAGCCCCTTTCTCGTATAGTTTTTGGAAGCTACAGGGCACCATATGGAGAATCATTTCATGACTCTCCTGATGGCTTTTACGTGAGCAGCTACAAATTGGATGGTTTCCTTCAGGTCTGACATCCGTACAGTACCTGCTGTGGATCAGGAGGAGCGGTCACTGCTTGTGTCCGTCCTGCGCCGTTCTGGGCAGGACAGAAGATGCAGACCCCTCCCGTAGGGGCCGCTGTAACTTGGGGAGATGGAAGCTGGGGAAGGAGGGTGGGGTGGGAGGTGTCAGGAAAGCCTGTCCCCGGGTCACTAGGGTGATTTACCCCACTCACTTTTCCATTCCCAATCACGGATCTAGGACTCAGGCTGAGGCTGGTGCTTCTTCCCAAACGCCACCGTCAGTCACCGACTTCTCCCCCAGGGCTCTTCATGAGCCTGGCTGGGCAGGGCCACCTGGAGATAGGTACGAGGTTAACGGGCTCAGTTCAGGTCCGGTCACTCACAGGACGTAGCTAGGCAGCAGTCAGCTTCGGAAGTATGAGCTCCATTCATTGAGTAACTGGCACTTTTTCTTTCTAAACAGTCGCAATGATACAAACTCTCTACATTTTACTTCTTTAAAAGGTGGCATGTCAAGCGCTCTCCCAACTCTTGACTCAATAATCTGTTGACTTCATAGGCATATCAAAGGCAAAGAGTCATTCTAATAAGGATAAGCCTTTAGATAAGTTTTTTGTAGGGAGTCTACTTTGCTTGGATGGCATTACCTTAATTCACTGAAGTCCTTTGGTCTTATATGCGGGAGCCAGGAGGGCAGAGGTTGGTAGTGTATTCTACTGGACCACCAATGAATGAGGAACTAAACCTTTCAACTGTTTCCCAAGCATCTCTGTAAAAAAGAAATTTAAAAAATCCTAAAAATCAAAGTACTAAAGATTGACTGGCTCTGGGAACTCATTCACTCAGATGTATTTTTAGCCTTTTGTTTATCTTTCTTGATTGATAAAGTAATTATCAAAATGCGTTAGAAAATAATAGCCAACTGGTGAGAAAAGGAACAGTTGGAGGAAACACACCATGGAGGAAAGGCATCCACAGATTCTACCTCCGGCTTTCCAAGGAAACTCATGAAAATTCATCTTCCCTTTTCCTTTCCCTTCTTGGGGGGCTGATGAAGGCTCTGGCTTGACAGCGGCTCCCGATCACACAGTGCCTCATTATCTCCCCCAGAAAGGCTGTCTGGTCCTCCTCCCCTCTGCTCACCTTTCTTCAACCCTCTCGCTCTGCAGTCTGCCCCAGGCCAACCAGAACCCCAGCAGATGTTTGTGATTTATGGGCCAAATGGGAGCCTGAAGGATCAACCAAATACCAGCCCCAGCGAGAGGGGAACCAGGCCATCTGACATCGGGAACACAGAACAGTGGCCAGTCCAGCAGGGCCGGGGCTTCCAGGGAGCAGAAGGAGGGCCGGATAATGAGCTGGCATGGCCCCCGTGCTGGCCCATTGCTCTGTCCTTCTGAAAAGCACACAGCGGCCTTTAATGGAGGCTCAGGGAGGTTGGGTGAGACGCTGCATGAGTCCACCTCCCTGGCTGGCAGTCCTGGCCCACCATGGCCCCCCGCCTGCCAGAGCACCATGTGGCGCCCTGACCGCAGCTCCTGGCACAGGAAAGGGCAGGCGGTTGAGGACGCCAGACGTAGGAGCAGCATGGAAGTGCCATGCTGTCTCGGTAGATCTCCCTGCCTCCGCACCACTGCGAGGCCCGGTCAGGAGGGTGGACAGAGTGTGGGTGTGCAGATGGGAGAGCACAGACTCCCTCTCAGCCTGGCCACTTACTGTCATGTGCCGTTGGCTGTGTTGGTCTTTAACGTCTCCGAGGCGAGATTTCTCCATCAGTGAAGGTACCTATTCTTGGGGCTACTTCCAGGACTATGACAGTACGTATGCTGGCTCTGCGCCTGTTGGCTCTGGAATCTGTCCCTCAACTGCCCCCGCTCTGCTCCATGCGCATGGCAGGGACCTCACCCTGGCTGAGTTCAGCCACAGGAGACTGGGGGAGGGTTTCTTCCCTCTCTCTCTGCCTCGGCACCTTCTCCAGCAGCAGCTTCCACTCCTCTCCAGTCCCCCCGGAAAGCCCCTAGGAACTGTGGCTCCCTAAAAGCCTCTTTCCTTTGTCCCTTCAGCCTTAGAGTCATCTCGCTGTCCCCTGTCCAGCTTCCCAGCTCTCTGTCACCTGTTGCATTCCCTTGGCTGTAAATGCCTGAGGTGTTCTGATTTCCGGCTGGACCTTGGCTGAAAGAGTGTGTGAGTAAATGTGCTGCACAGCTGGATGGACACAGACCTCCTGGGGCCCCCACTCCACAGAGGGGAAGGGGGCAGGGATGGTCACCTGGTTCTTCCTACCTACGCATCAGATCCCAGACTCAAACCATAGGGCGGGATGCTCCCGGGCCAGTTGTCCACCTGAAACAATTTCCGGGGGAGTTCTTCAGCAGGATATTTTCTAAAGGAAAAAAAAATGGAATAAGAACTGTATATGTTTGTATCACGTATGAGTTTAAGTGTATATACCATCATAGAAAATACCCCATGGACGTCTGGTGTACCTTCCTCTTCCTCTTTGCCAAGGCACCTGTGGGCCATGTGGTCTGGTGTGTCTGGTTCTGGGTTCTGCAGACATTTCTCTGTGTCTCCTGCTATTCCCATTTCACAGCAGACGGCATTTTCGTGCTTCCCTGCCTTATCCTGTGTTTCAGTGGCCATAGATCGAGAGTTGTCCCATCCCTGGACTACTAGGGATGACTGTCTCCATCAGGCTGCCGGCTCTGTCTGTTGCAAGTTTCGTGGACCATTGGTGCTGCTTCTCTCTGTGTTCTGTCTTCTGGTTCCACGCTCTGGGCGTGGGGACGTTGTATTCCACTCCTTTTGGCAGGAAGAGTAACTTCCCTATTGAGGTCAGAATTGAAAATGGATTTCCCCATTGGGCAGAGAGATGGAGGCCTACACTTCCTGTGCAGTGTAATTAATCCCTGCCCCTCCCCTGCCTGCAGCGCCAAGCACAGGGCCTTCCCTGCTTAACCATTTCCTGCCTGACACTGTGAAGGCTACAGAGGAAGTGTGTGAGCTTTAGAGTGCTTCCTGCATGGTAGTTATGATCTTGCGAAGGCCATCACTCAGGTCATTGGGGGCTGCCTGCTGCCCCTGCTACTGTCTTGCTGGAGAACTCAGTGCTCAAGATGCTCCAGGGAGCAGCAAAGCCTGAGCCCAGAGGAAAAGGGCAGGGGCTGAGGAAGCTAGGACGGCAGGGCCCTCACTTATGGGGCAAAGTTAGTTCGCCTTTCTCACTTTCTTCCCATCCCCACAGTCCTGTCATCGCAAACTGACAGGGCTTGAAAGACACTCTTCATGGGTAAGGCTTCTCTCCTTCCCTTTGGCTGCCTGATTTTCATGTAATTCCTATTGAAAGTGTAGTAACCAAACACCATGACCTCACAGATGTCATTGTGCACTGAAGTGTAGACTTGGAAACCTTTAGGGTGGTACGTTTGGGCTATGAAATCCTCCTGATTTGCATTCCTGCAACTTTGGAATTGTCCCTTTCTCCAATATGCATAAGTCATGGCACTGAGAGCTGAAAAGGACATGCTGGTTCGTGTTGTTCAATGCCCTCATTTTTGCACAGGAGGGAACTGAAGAACAGAGAAAGGCTGAGCGTCCAGTGACAGATAGCTCATGAGTGCAGGGTCAAGGTGAGGAACTGGGTCTTCATGGGCTCTCAATCTAGTGCTACTTTCAGCAGCCACCTTGGCAATTAAAACCAACTAAAGCTTTCGCTGCCTTGATGAGTGTGGGTTCTCAGATGCAAACCTCAGAGAAGATTACTGGTGTGCTGGTGCCTATTTAACTATGTTTAACTATGGACTCTCCAGGGGAAAAAAGTGTGATTATAGATATATACATAAGTTTATTATAAATTTTACTGTTATGAGGAATATGTAGCACACAATTTACAAATAATAATAAAATATACAACAGTCTTTATTATAAATTCCATGGAACCAATTGATTTTCACAGAATGCTTTTGTTGATTTTTTGCTGAATTCTTGTACCTGTACCTGGTTGCAACTGCTGAGTGAATATAATTCTGACATAAATGTTGGATGATATTTTCTTATATGTTAATGTGTTACACAAAAGTAAAACCATAAAGACACAGGTTGCAATGTCATTCATTCATCAATGACATGAGTGACATCTTTTCTAAATCAGATAATGATTTACAAATACTGGGAGCATATTTCCTCAAATTTTTGCATTATCCACAATGTAACAGCCACAGATATGACAAACATTTTAAGTTTAATCCTCAGTATTAACATTTTCCATCACTTTCTTTAGTCTAAACAAGCAACAAAACAATGAATCAAGACCTGATTCCTAGCATTTGCTAATTTACATCCACGGTATAAATATTCTCACCATGACAGATTTCAAGCCCACCATGTGCTGTCACTGAACCCAGAGTTAGTAGACCTGTGTGGCAGCATGTCATTGTGTAAGATTCCTGCGATTCAGATATCATAGGTGTAAATAGCCTCAAGAGCCTAGGTAATAACATAACGTAGTAAAATAATTGAAAAGTGGTATGTTTTTGGCATTTATTACCTTTGTTTTTAACATAACTTATTTAATTTTAAGTGTGTATAATTTAATTTTTAATCATGTTTGTATTTAACAACTTCTCACAAAATTCCTCAAATTTTAGAATCAGCTCTTCCGAGCTGATGGAAGTAGCCATCACTAGCAGAGGTGGATGGGATGGTAGCTACCTTGCCTCTGCTCAGTGCATACCCAAGACCACAGGCAAAGGAGACCAGGAAGATGGCTGTTTGGGTGAGAAGGCATGGGCCAAACTCACACTGAGGGGTGACAGGTAAATTTAAGAACAGGATGAGACCCCATGTAGCAGGTGACTAAAGGTGTTTGGAGGGTTCGTTTTCCAAATGTTACAAAAAATAAAGTTTTAAATATTAGACAGTCAAGGAAGTTTAAAGGAAAAGGGGAGAAGGGGAAAGAGAAATAAGAAGGAAAAGATTAACTATTAATTTTGAAATGTTTTTCATTAAGAAAGCGATTTGCTGGCACAAAGCTCTAGGGCTGCCTGTGTGGAAGCTCCCGGACTCGTGGCTTGCATGCCCTCCCCGTGCACGCTGGGTGGACACGGTGCAGGCGCCCCTTGGGCCGTCCCTGTTTCAGGACCTGACCTCTCACTTCTTTGGAAGGAGAGGATGAGATTACCAGAGCTTTGGATCCATTTTTGGATCAAATGAAAGCCACAGGCTAATCCTTAATGTGTCCCTCTCCTCTTACAGATGCTGGCCTGGCTGCAGGGGTGAGGCTGCAGATGTCTAGCAGGCCCGGCCCCAGGGCGGAAGGCAGAAAGTCACACACTGCTCCCTGAGGTCTGCAGCACCCCTCCCACCCATCTTCCCCCAGCAGCACTCTGTGCCCCGGGGAGCCCTTCTTTCCACACTCGACTCCAGCCTCACCTCCTCTGGGAAGCTGTCTTGGTCCCTTGTCTGTTGCTACAACTGAATACCCGAGACTAGCTAATGTATAAAGAAAATAAATTTACTTCTTATGGTTCTGCAGGCTGGAAAGTCCAAGATCCAGGGGCCACATCTGGTGAGAGCCTTCTTGCTGGTGGGGACTCTCTGTAGAGCCCTGAGGTGGCACAGGGCATCACATGGCAAGGGGCTCAGGAGAGAGCCGAGCTGGCTTTTATAGCAGACCTACTCTCGTGATAACTAACCCACTCCTGTGATAATCCATTGATCCATTAACCCATCAACCCATTGTGAGTGCAGGACCCTCAAGACCCAATCACTTCTTAAAGGCCCCACCTCCTAATGCTGTTACACTGGGAAATAAGTTTCAACATGAGTTTTGGAGGGGACAAACATTCAAACCACAGCAGATGGGATGATACCCCAGTAACAGTTAGCCACTCTCCTCTCCTTCTTCTTGCAGCATTTGTAGTAATTTGCCATGCCTTTTTGTTCACTTGTCTATGCTCTCAACAGAACTGTGGGCTCTTCAAGGGAAAAGATCTTCTTTGGTCAGTGCCTGCTGCAGAATAGTAGGTCTCGGTAGATCTTAGACCCCACATCACTTTGTGTAGTGATTCTCAAACATGTGTGCACAAGAATTACTTAAAAATGGGTTAAAATGCAGATCCCCAGATCTTGGACTAGTGATCTTGTAACCACATCTTTGAATAAGAGCATGTGCTGTTGATGCACAGATGTTCATAACCCATACTTTAAGAAATACAAATTTGTTCAAACTTTTCATTTTATAGGTGGGGAAACAGAGAGCCAGAGATTAAGTGCCCTGCGTCAGGACCCTTGGCTACTTAATGCAAGAGGAGTAATAGTGCTTTCAGACAGAGCCATCTTAAATTTTTATTAATCTGATTAAGCTAATCACAGACACACTGATGATCACCGTTGGGAATATTAAAAATGCCTTGAACGGAAATCATTGAACACGACATTTTAAAATAGTAACAAGACTCTCCGCAGTTGCAGCTCCTGCTAAAGGGGTGTGCATGCAGACATTGCAGCCCCTTCGTGTTCCTGCCACCAGTGGCTCCTCCTTAGAATGCAAATGTTTTCTGACAACAGAGCAAGTCCCTGGTGGCTTCTGCTTCTAAAGTGTCATTTGCCTCAATGGCTGTCTCAAGAGGCTGTTTGCCACAAGCTCTGTTTCCAGCAGGGTGTCCTCTGACGCCTTTCCGATGTTCACACTTCATGGTGGCCGATTCAGGGCCCAGAGTTGACCCAGGGTTCAGGTGTCTGGTTCATGCCTATTTTTATGAGCAAATCCTGATTTCGTCTGTCAGTTGTTTGGCGGGCACTGTGCGCTGGCTCCTGCCTCGGGCGGCATGTGCCACCTAGCGGGCCCTGTGACTGCCACCCTGGCTTGGCAGGAGCTGGGCAGCCCAGCCCTGAGGAAACTCAGCAGACACCCACTGAGGGTTACACCAGCCCCCAAGCAGCCCGGCCACTGGGGGCTCAGAAGAGTAGCTCATCAGGGGAGCCGGGAAGGACAGAAGAAGGAGGTCTGGCGGGGTCCTAGCACTCTGCCACCTTGCTTGACGGAATTCTGATAGTGGTGGGCAGGAACTCTGCTTCTCGGCCACAAGGTGTCAGCAGTGGGCTGGCCAGGTGATGGCTGTGTGCGCAGGCCCTTGGAGGAAGGCCCGGGCAGGCAGAGATGCTGCTGGTTGCCCTTTGAGATTCCTAGTTTGGAGAGACTGCTCTTCTTCTTAGTGGGGGAGTGATGGTTACGTTACCAAAGGCCCTCCCTCGGCTTTACAATGGACCAGCCACATGCCTCTCTGTGCCTTCAGCCGAGTGTCACTGCCGCTGCCAGGCATCTTGACCACACCTGAACTGCAGCTTGGAGAGGCTGATGCAGGTGGACATTTGGGGATAATGCCAACGTTGTAGGAGGTGTATACAGACAGAATGGCTCAGGACACTACTTTTTTAAAAATCTGGATGAATTCTGGCTCCTCTACTTACTAGCTGTGAATCTGAAGTCTGGGTTTGCGTCCTCATGTGGAAAAGGACATTTTGCCCATTTTTCAAGCGGCACTTAGTCATAGGGTTGTTATGTGGGTCAAACGAGATGAAATGCTTTGCAAACTGTGGGTACTAGGTACACATGGGTACAGTGCTCGGGGCTCCTCTTCTGGCCTGAGCTGTGTCACAGAGCTTCCTTCAGACCAGAGGGACAGACACCGCGGCAGGAACAAGTGGCTGACTCTTCTCCGAACGGGTCATGTGGAGACTCCAATGTGAGCTGCCAGCCATAAACTTCTGATCCAGCCTGATAGAGTCATCTTCCAACTAGATTCTTCCTGGATGCCTTTCCGCGGCTTGTTTCCAAGCGGAAAGCTGGCAGTGCATGCATGCTCTTCCTTCTCCACTGAGCCTGCTTTTCCATCCTGGAAGGAGATGAAACACACGTTGTAGAATGTAAGTTTTTCCTGCCGGACACTATCCCCAGTGCAGTGATGGAGAAAAATAGCAGATGAAGTCAGGGGATAACTGATGAGTAACATACTGATTTATAAACATTTATGAAATCAAATGAAGGCTTTTTTTCCACTGGTGGGGTTATTTATTATGTCCTTGCTGGCCAGATCCCAGAGTAGAAGAGGTTTTGGTTCCTGAGCAAGAGAAATAGCAGGGACCAATTTTCTCCATTGCTCAGCTGATGTTGAAATGCAGCCCAGTCGCCGGCCTGACTCAAGACTGACCTGCTCATCACCGTCGTGGCGAATGGGGGCCGAGGCACAGGCCCCATCGCACTGGCAAGATGGCAAAGACGAGATGAGGCTGTCGCGATGGATGGGTCATTGCTCTGCGGAGCTTTTCCTGTGGCCTGTCCCTTGCTGGAAACGACCTACCCTGAAAATATCCTGTGAAAAACTCAGATGGGATTTTGATTGTAATTTTACTAAGTTAGATATTAATTTGTGGAAAAGTGAGATCTTATGACATAGAGTTTTTCCATTTATGAACATGTTGTATCTTTCTATTTATTCAATTTCTCTTTCATATCTATCTTTCCAAATAAATTTTAGGTTTCTGTAGAAAGACCTTGGGCATCTTATGGTAGATGCATTCCTAGATAAATTATAGCTTTTTATTACTATCCTAAAGGAATCTTTAAGAATATCTACATTTTCTTGTTGGTGTGTAGGCAAGTATTTGTGTATGTGTGCACTAAGAGAAATAGACTAGAGCCTTATTGGTTCTAATAGTTTGTCTGTCGTTTTGGATTTACTGTGTGAACAATGATATTAAATAATGCCTGTTTTAGTTTCCCTTTTTTAATCCTGTTACATTCT